GGAACCAATAATAAACCACCCAAGACTTCGCAGCTTCTAATAAGCCAAGCAGCGATTCTCTTTAATCCACTCACTTCACAGAAGCCAGAATCTTGGTATCAGCCGATGATAGTAAAGGAAGGACAACGGAGAAGCCACTGCGGTCAGCGAGCAGAACTCTAGGCAAATATTAAGGAACTTTGAGGGGAATTTATCAAAACTGGAGCAGACAAAACCTGTAGGCCGCTGTGCATGGCAACCAATCAGCTTCTTTCATTTTCAAATCTTAACTGAACAAACTGAAGAGAGAAGCCGATTGGTTGCCTTGGGCAACTGCTCCAGTTTTGATACATTCCCCTCACTGTGTTTTCTCATATGGACATTTTCTATGCCAAAAGTGGACATTGAAATAGGAAATTAATGGGCACAGCGCCTGAGATCTCAATTATAACCAAGACTGAGCACCAACCAAACTCAGCGACGTATTCCTCTTGTTCCACCGGTACAGGCTTTTCATTTTTAGTACCAGTGCCCAACATTCTATGACCTGGTTCAAGCCCATCACTTGAGGACTAAAGAAGCTCCAGAATTAGGGTTGTCCCAATATCGATACTAGTATTCGGGCTGATACCAAGCATCTTCCCGAGTACTTGTACACATGAAAATGCCCCAATTCTTAAGGCCGATACCGGCCCTTTACATTTTTAAACAGCAGTGGCTGTCCGAGTTCCAGCGCTTGTTGGGACCTCGGCAGCCTGCTGGGGACCTGTAGATAGCTGTCCTGTCCATGGCAGTGTCTGTCCGGTTCTTCCTAGCGCAGGCACAGCCATGTACAGCCCCAGGGGTGGAACTACCGGTGGTGGAGCCGGAGCGTCGGTTTCTGCCGCCCATTGACAGGGGAGGACTGGGCTGGGAGAAGGATGGAGGTCGGGGGGCCCAGCAGCGGAGATGGTCGGCGGGCGCAGAAGAAGCTAGGTCCCAGCATCGCCGGCCCGGAAGTTGTGGAGGCCAGGTCCCAGCATCGCCATTCCGGACGTGGATGTCGCCCGGGTGAGATCAACAAGCAGCCCGGTGAGAGGAAGTCTGCTTTGGGGACATGTTTTTGCAAAATATAGGTCCCCACAGCAGTACACATGTCCCTAAGGCAGAATACTGTTCTGCTGTGGGGACATGTATTCTCATTAAAAAAGTGGTTTAGGAACATCCCTATCCAGAATCATTTACAAGGGAAAATGACCCCTCTGGCACACTATATAATACACTCTACATGCCAATTACTGAATGAATTAGGTCGGTCCACCCAGAAGATGATCTCATCAGGACACTACGAATAGTTCTAGCAAAAGAATTCACATAAAGTACGGGGTCATCTACCGCCCATCAAGAGCAAGGACAAGACTAGCATATAACCATGTCGTTATGTTCCACTTTCCTAAGGCCTCCTGCACAGGGGCGCATGAGTCCACAGAATGTATACTGTGGGGTATTTCTGCACCAGGGATAAGCAGCCGCAGCCGCCCATAGTAGTGAATGAGTGGAGGTGGCTATACAAGGGTTTGCTACAGCTCACTACAGCAACAAAAAGAACCAGGCAATTAAAAATTTAACCCTTGAAAGTGGTGCTACGCCCCGCAGTGCAAGGGTTAAGTGCTGGTTTTGGTCTAGGGTGTAAAATAGAAAAGAAAAACTACTCACCTGGTCCTTCACCAGTAACCGCTCACCTCTCTCTCCCCCTCCGCTCCAGCTGTGGTATACACATAGTACAAGTCAATGGACTTGTTTTACACATATCAGCGGGCCTTAGACCACCGGAGGCGGGGAGAAGGGGTTGCAGGGAAGGGGGTTCTGACAAGTACACCTTTCTTATTTTACAACATAGACTTAAACCAGCACCTCACTGCAAGGGTTATGATTTTAACTGTCCGGAGTTCTTCTTTAAGAGGATTTTTCAGCCCTGACATACTTTCACTTTTTAAAAAGGGGGTTTGCGAATGCTGACCACCTTCTAAAAAAGTTAGTTGCCTGCAGAGGAACGTCAAGGTTTTACATGCATACTGTCCAGCATCAAGTAGTTTACCTCTCTGTCATGTTGAGCCTCTTGCTTCAAAGCAAAAAGGGCAAGAAACTAGCTTCTCCCCTAAGGTCAGCCCTGGCAGCCTCCATGTATTTGTTATCGCAGGGTCCCTTTAGCACATTTTGCTGTGCGACAGTATAGAGCAGTGGTGGCGAACATTGGCACTCCAGCTGTGCCAAAACTACAAATCCCAACATGCACCTGCCTCTGGGAGTTATGTATGTGGCTGTCAGAGCCTTGCAATGCCTCATGGGACTTGTAGTTCCAAAACAGCTGGAGTGTCAAGGTTCGCCACCACTGGTATAGAGCAACCTCATTTATTTTTATGGACTGCCCTGTGCTTGACAAATGTGGCAGTTTGAGCAGCGGGCGTAACACTTTATTTTGACTGGACATTAACATGCGCATTTTGCCAACGCAACATATGCTTTTTGTGCTCTCTACATTGCGCGCGTCAAGTGTGGACCAGGTCCAAGATGCTGCTCTATATTAAAAAAACGTCCAGTATACATCAATAGCTACATTTTGAATCCCACAAGTCAAAGAGGAAAGCTTGGAATACACAACCGATTAGCAGTTACAGTGTCCCAATAATCAAAGCGTGAAGGTGCTGGATGGGTCAGCAACAGGGACGGTGTATCCATCAGCCTACCCAGAGAGAAGTATGCACATCATGGAAAAAGAGCACCATTCAATTGCACTCTGAAGTAGATCTGAGCCGCCGTCCCCCCGCCCCGATGACAGTTAGTGTGCTGATGTTGTTAGGTGAATCAAGAAAATGCCTTCAGTGCTGCTGATCTCCTCCAGCCTCTTCCAGCCTCTTCCTGTCTTCATGCACTAGCTCCAGCATCGGCTGCACATCATTACCCAGAATTGAATTCCCGATGGCAGCAAATAGTGGAGCATGTCTGGCAGCTAACCTGCTTGTAGTCTCCACCAGGTCTGCATGTGAAAGGGCGACAATGCATGAGAGAAGTCACCACATAACAGGAAGTGCCTAAAACTGACCTACGTGGCACTGTCAACTGATATTTGAAAGAATGCTGCAGATTTAATAGATTAACATTTTTGGAATTTTTAACATACTGTATTAAAGCACATCTCCGGACAAACTTATCCCCAGCCCCGGACTACTACCCATTCATAAGTGATCCAGCTGTCTGTGATATCGTGGTACACCCTTACAAAGTCTGTGTGATGTATCAAATGATCCAGGGTGGGTGACATCATGGTACACCCTTATAAATCCTGTGGTGTGTATGTGATGTTATGACATAATGCTACACATGCCTAGATCACGTACAATACTTCACACCGGCTTAGTCAGGGTGCACCAGCATGTCACACAGGCCCGCAGGGTACGCATCCCGATACCCCTCGGATGTCACACAGAGGCCAGGCTCTAATAAGGAGTTTTAAATAGAAAGTCAGCACACCTACAATAGTAGATTGTATTTAAGGTCGCTAAAAAAAAAAAAAAAAGGCAGAGATTTCTGGATTGTTTTCAAGCAAAGTACAGATAAAAGGTAGAAAGGTTCAATACACAGATGATCAGGATAGGAGTAGGACGTAGGCGTTCGGAGGTAATGGATAACCTGCTAATCAGGGTATCAAATAGAAAGGCAAACAACCTTCTGCTCCGAAAAAGTCAGCACACCTACAATAGTAGATTTTATTTTAAGTCGCTAAAAAAAAAAAAAAAAAGGCAGAGATTTCTGGATTGTTTTCAAGGCAAGTACAGATAAAAGGTAGAAAGGTTCAATACACAGATGATCAGGATAGGAGTAGGACGTAGGCGTTCGGAGGTAATGGATAACCTGCTAATCAGGGTATCAAATAGAAAGGCAAACAACCTTCTGCTCCGAAACCAGAGATGGAGTGATTGATAGACTATACAGGGGACGGAAACATGAAGTAAGAAGCAGAAAGAAAAAGGAGCAAATACAAAAAGGTTAAAAAGAATAGTCTCAGTCAGGGCAAGAGATAAGGGAATGGAGGGGAGGAAGGACCTTGGTCCATGGTGAAAGCCAGGGGTGAACAAGACTGGGTCCATAGCAGTTCTTGGGTTAACCCATGGGGACCAAGGAAGGCGTCATTGATCTCATTTAAAATACTAGAAAACGTTTCAATAATCACGACATTGGGAAGACCGGTCCTAATACTAATTTCCGTAACCCCCCCCCATGCATGGGTTAGACGCTTGTTTTGTATTTGCATCCTGCTGGCTCTTGGATACTATGAAGATCCTCTCTCCATTAATGCCAGATCCTCCCTACAGTGGCGATAGGCTGCGTCTTCTACTGGTGAGGATCATGGTGTTCCCCCTCTCCTTCCTGTCCTCTAGTCCATTCACAAAACCCCTAGTATTATTTCCCAGAGTGCAAGGCGTTCTGTGAATGGAGAAGGGCAGATGAATGGCAGGATCCATAACCCCTTGCATTCAGGGAACATAATACCAGGAGTTTTGTGAATAGATGAGGAGATTGGAAGGGGGGAGGGAGCCATGATCCCTCACAAAGGCAGCTCTTAACCCCCGCAACACTGGAACATCAACACTGAGGAGGATGGTGGCGGTGGTACTGCTACTATGCCCCCACCTTTTACACTTAAGCATTTTATTGTTTTTCAGCCTAGAATAATTTTTGTTTTAGCCAATGGGAAGCTGGTTACTCGGAGGAGCCTGTTGTTAAGCACAAAGTCATAATGACTCCTTTTTTAATTAGGTGCTCCCATTGAAGTCTATAGAGCCTGCTCATGTACTTTTTGGAGCAACACCATTGGAAATGGGATTCTTCATGTTAAGCGTTGTCACACTTCATAAAACAAGTGACCATACGCTGGTGTGAACGGAGGGCAGTGACAGGTCCCCTCCACCCCCGTGCTCACTATCCATTATCTGTGTATTGATCAGGGAAGGTGTTAATTGCACGATTTCTGTCACTCTCACCCTGTCCACCTCGCAGCGCTGGGCCTCCAGGTCCCGGGCCTGCAGCCGCTCCTCCACATTCTGATACTCTCCCAGTCGCTGCTCCAGTTGCCTCCGCCCGCTCTCGGCCTGCACCATAAGATCGGAGTGCCTCTTCTCTAGCCGGCTCCGGGCCACCTCGGTGCGCTGCACCTGCTCCTGAAGAGCCGACAGATCCTCCAGCAGCGCGCCCTGCCGGCTGGACACGCTCCAGTAGTTAAAGGCCAGCAGGGCGATCACCACTAGCAGGGCAACCAGCACGAAGGGGGGCAGGCGGCCCGTCCGCCTCGGGGCTCCGAACCCGACCATGACAGCCCCCTCCGGCCTAGCTCTCTCCGTGCTGTCTTTCTACCTTCTCCGGCGCCACCTAACCTGCTGACCTGAGGAACAAGGCAAGCCTTCAATAGGAGAGGGCGGTACGCTGACACTCACAAAGCACCGATTGGTTCACTAGATCGGGTTGTTTCCGCCCTGAAGATGGGTTGAAGCGTAGTTAGAGCCCTGGTAAGAGAAAAAGAAAAAGCCGAAAACTCGCTTTGCGCAGGCGCAATACAGTTCCGCATTCGTTGTCATGGTCGCAATGTCTGTCTCTGGGGGGCGTGGCTGCATGCTCAGCGTGCAGAATGCGCTGGTTTCTGCACTGTTCTAGGTAGCGATGGCGAGCTGGTTAGCGAACATTTCCGGCCGGAGTACGGTGATATATGCTGAGCCATGACCTGGCTCTGGCTGCTGAGAAGTGATAGAACACCGGAATCTGACTTCCCGGCAGTGACGGGGTTAAGCATTCGACACGCCTGCACGCTTTATAGCCCGCCCCCATGGGCGCCGTTGGCCCGCAGCGCGGGGCTGTCCGTGTTCCTGTCATTGTTGCCGAGGGTGGAGCAGTCCGGGGTGATCTGTGTGTTGGGGTACGGGTAGTATGCGCCATGACACTGCAAGGCACTCACACCAACCTGCCTGGCACCGGGCGGAGAGAAACACAGATCGGTCATGGGGGGTGTGCGCCCCTAGGGGACACATGTTGTAATGTGTATGAGCAGTTTAAAGGAACAGTCCATCTGTAGCAAAAATGTAATACTGTACATTTATCCGCCAACTTATTGTCTCCCAACAGTTACTATTAACCCTTTCGCTGCCAAGGCCTTTTTGTTTTGTTTTTGCACACATGATATAATCCACATTTTAGGCCTGAAAATGACCTCAAGCTCCCAAAACATATTTTATGAAAGCCAACACCCTGTAGATTAAAATGGTGGCAGTCAAAAAATTTTATGTTGCATGATGTTGGCGCAACTCTTTGGCAAACCCAAAAATGTAGTGAAAAATGCACTTAATTTTAGTGCCCCAAAACACAATAAAAGAAAAAAAATTTGTGGAATATAAAAGATAAGTTCACGACAAGTAAATAGATACCCAACATGCCCAGGTTAAAAATTGTGTATGTCCGTGAAACGGACCCCAAAAAAGTCTATCAACGATGTTTTAAAAGCCCCAACAGGTTATCAGTTTAGAGATACATGTAAATATTGGCCCTAGAATTATTGCTCTCACTCTGGCGTGTGCGGCGATACCCAACATGTGTAGCGTGATCAACGTTTTTGTACATAGATGCACCTGATGTGGGTTTGCGCGAATGCGCACTCGCTCACCGGGGCCCCGGACTTTAAAAAAAATAGTTTTATTATTTTTACATTAATTTTATTCTATATTATTTTTTTAAACTATTCTTTTTTTTTTAACTTTAATTGCTATCACATAGTGGGGCTTACAAGCCATGTGATAGCATACTGGCAGTGACAGGTCCTCTTTAAGGTGATACGGGGGGTCCAAAAGTCTTTCTAAGCTATTGAAGTGCAGATCACACTTCAATAGCTTATTGCCGGACTTCAGGAGCCGAGCAATGACAGCTCAGGGACCAGAAGTGATGCAATACACGTCACTCCCGGTCCCTTAGAACAGGGAGGAGAAAGGTGAGCGGATGTTCGCTGCTCTCCTCCCCAGCTTTCCGCTGGCACCTGCAATGCCGGTCCCGGGCCTGTAGGAGGGGCAGCGGACCCCGGAAACAGGCACTTTACCGGCCCATAGAAGTGATCTGGCGACAGCTGAGCCACCAGAATCGCTTTGCGGCTGCCGGCTTTACAAAGGTAAACAGAATCTGTTTACAGGGCCGTGCTGCCAATGACGTACTATGTATGTCCGTGGTCGTGAAAGGGTTAAGCCACGCCAACTGTTAGTTCCCATTCACACCTACCAGCAACGTACGTCATGTTTGCGTGTGTTTTGTTTTACGCATTTGCTGTGCGTCCCTATTGCTTTCAGTGGGTTCCTGGACGCATGACAACCACAGGAAAGCAGTGTATGTAGCAAAATCTGCGTTCTGCGTTTTCCCTCTGCGTTTGTGAACGTTTTAACATGCTCAAATGCAGTGGAAAAACGTGTGTTTGCCCGGGTGTGTTTGGGGGTGCCATTAACTGGTAATGTGTGTTCCGCAAACGCAGGTCAAAGTGCGCATTTATGCCACGCGTTTATGGAATGCTCAGGTGGGAATGGAGAGTTAAGGTTGCCAGTGTGCTCTTTTCAGCTCTCAACCGAATTATCAAGCCAACGGCTGGTGTCATAGCTGGTCACATGTGCAGCACAAGTACCATCGGGGGAAGGGACTTCTATGCAGCAGTTCCACTTTCATAACATTTAAAAAGTGCATTTGTTCCATTTTTGTATTGAAGCCTGCAGAGCATTGTGACTGCGATCACTGAGTCACGGGGACAACGCACAGGCTCCTGTATTGCTAACATCCCAGCCCCAAGCCTTCTGTTATAGAGCTGACAAAGTGATTAATGGAATACAAGTGCCGTGATGTCACCTCACCTGTGCTCCAGTGAGATCTCCGAGTCCCTCTGCCACGGTGGCAGATGGGACTTGTAGTCTTCCCATTGACAGATCCCTATGACTGGATGTAGAAGTGATGAAGCAGCTTTACAGCTGCATGAACCCCTTTTACAAGCCGAAAGCTTACTGAGAAAAGGTAATAACAGCTACAGCAGCTGGGAGTCTGTTTGCATGTCAACGCTGATGCCAACATAATCCTTACAAGGCAGCAGAGAAGAGGATTGAGACAAACCATCTAACACTGACAGGGGGGATTACAATGGTCAGCTTTTATTTCTTTATATAAAACATTTATCCCAAAAGGAAAAAACAAACTGTTGCTGTAATTGCTTGAAAAGTGTTAGTTGGAGTTCAGCTTTATGTGTTAGTGAAGTCCATCTACATCTGCTAGTCCATCTTACACTATGCTTCCTACAGGGTGACAATGCTGCTCTCCAAGGGTGACTCCATTGCTCCTCCATAGGGTGGAGCCACTCTAAGACAGGAAGTGTACACAAAACCAAATACTATG